ATGGCACCGCCCATCCGCCAATCAGTCGCCAAAAAGGTAAAAGAAGCTCTTGTCTCCGGGGAAAACAAAACACGGCTAATAGGAAAAAAGGAAATTGTGCCAAAGAGTGCAATGCCTCATGGATATACACAGGCATCAACATCTGGAATGCCATCAATGTTGAGGCTGCCTACCAAGCACGGAGTTCCAATGCCTCCGGTCGAGGGTGTTAAATTCTCAAAGGAAAAGATACGGTTTGCGGGCGAATCCTCTACTGCTAGCGCATCTACCACGCCATCCACCTTCAAAACACCCGGATCCAAATCTGCCAAACCAAGCAAGACCCCAGCTGGCGCCAAGGACTCGCCAATTTACCAGAACGGGGAGCTAATTGATTTGCCCGACATTCAAACTGACTCTGATGATGACGATGACGACTACCCGGCAAAGAGCGATTTCCATGTACCCAAATGGGCCGAATCTCCGGAGCTTCGCGGGCTGTTGGAAAATCAGCAGAGCATCAACCCCGAAGATGTTTTCGGTCCCATGGCCAGATTAGATATGGATGCCATCTTCAGGGATGGGGGCGGAAGACAGAAGTTCCGAGCAAGAACTTCGTCGGCGAACTGGTCGGGTGCGGATAGACTCACCCCGGATGAAATTGCGGCGGATATGGAGGCAAGGAGGAAGATGATTGAGCAGGGTGGTTGGAAATACCAGCCGCCTCAATAAAGCAATCATTACCGGCCTTTAGTGTTGTACGTTTTTTTTTTTTTTTTTGTTTTTTAAAGCCGAATTTCGATTTTATATGTGGGATTTGTTCAAGGAGTTTTTTTTCTTTTTCTTTCCAGCCTTTTATCTGCTTTGGGTTTCTTTTTGTAAACCTTATTCTTCTTCTTGTTCTTTCTCTAGTTATTGGGTGCATGCAGGGTAAATGCAAAACGGCCGGGAATTGGCTTATGGTACAAAAAAAAAGAAAAACGGGGATGATGCATCGTTTATGAACAGCAGTTTATCTTTTTCTGGGGACTCTAGAGTACATGTGTAGTAGTAGTAATTGTGCTACGGGGTACGTGTATTTTCTTTTTCTTATCTTGTTGTTTTAGTTACAATAGTTTTGTACTAATACTTTACCCACCTCGTCTTCTCTTCTCAATGGTCATGGCGGGAAACTGTATATTGTATACTACAATTCTCTACTATGTTTGCTGTCTCCCTCACTTGGGTACTTGCTCTGGGTGTATTTATAACGTATATGAGTTCTTGAGCGCCGCGTGTTTGATCCTCGGATCACCATCACAGTGCTTTTAGAATAATAACACACTGTAGACTATGTTTACGGCTACGGCCACATTGTTGCAGTGACCCAAGAACAGATAGCTGAGGCTGGCTCGTTGATTTTGCGGGCCGAGTGCTTGCTTAGCCACCCTGGTGTTAAGTTCGCATTTGGAGTCATGGGATATCACTCGGTCGATAGTCAATTGGATATTTGGTTTTCGAATGATGCCAGACCCGGGAGGGTGGTCTGTTCAATTATGGCATGTCCAAACCTGTCCGATCTGTGACCATAGAAATATTTTGTTGGGGTCTTGTTGATTAAAGAATCAAGTCACTTAATGATATCAGAAACCATGCAATTTTATCTACCCATTACGCACTATATACAAAAAGCCAAACATCCCAAACAAAAAAGCCACCAACACCACAAATCCTACAACCCCCTTCCCCCCCTTCCCACTACTTCGCAGGGCTTGGATGCTTCCTCTTCCAATCCTTCACAAACTCCTCCGTCCGCGCCCTCGGCACCAACAGCACCGTCAAAATCTGGTCCACAACCACCACCTTGCCCCCTCCCAGCGTCTCAAACAGCGGCACCTTCTTGCCCACCTTGATCAGCCCGCCCGTCGCCGTCTCCATGTACGCGTCGACCTTGCTCGCGGGGAAGTACTCGCGCGCCGAGTCCCACGGACAGGGCTCGGCGAGCACCATGGAGAGCTGCTCGGCGAGCGTGCTGTTCTCCGGGAACGCCTTGATGAAGTCCGACTGCAGCGACAGCGGGTACAGGAACACCGTCGGGAAGCACAGCGCCGACTTCGGGTCTGTCGGGTCCTCGAGATGGAGTGTTGCGTCTTCGAGCTCCGGTGGCTGCGGGGTTACCTTGACGGGTATCTTCCGTGCCAGCAGCGCCACGCGCAGAATCTGCGCTTCCCGCAGCGCCTTGTCCTCACGCTCCTTGCGCACGCGCTCGATCTCCGCGATGCGGTTCTGCTTCTTTGCAATCTCCGCCTGCAGCTGCAGCAGCGCCGCGTTCTCGGGCGCCGTCTCGAGCCCCGCGCTGATGCACTGCATCGCCTCTGGGAGCTTCTCGAGCGCGTAGAGCGCCTTCGCGCTACGATACCACGCCTTCGTGTTCGTGGGAGCCATCTGCAGCGCGAGCTTACAGTCCGTGATGCATCTCCGGTAGTTCTTCAGCTCCAGGTTGCACGCCGCGCGGTTGGTCAGGCAGGCCGTCTCGATCTCGGCGACGCCGCACTTGACGGCGAGCGCCTTTGTGTAGAACTCGACGGCGTCGCGGTACTGCTTGACCTTGAAGTTGTCGTTGCCCTGGTTGCGGAAGTTCTGTGCGACCTCGTGCGGCTCGCCCTCGTAGGCGAGGGCCTTGAGCGCCTCGAGCTCGATGTTCTCGCCGGTGCCCTCGGCGTTGGTCTCGTCGAGCTCCGTCATGAAGAGCGGCATCTTGTTCATGGTCTTGAGGAATTCGTCTGTGGTCATGTTCTTGACGCCGGCGATGGCGGCGGGGAGCTCGGGCGCCATGGAGCCGGGGGTGGAGGGGGCATGGCCGTGGCGGGCGGCGGCCTGCGCGATGAGGTCGTTGAGGTCCAGGCCGGCGACCTGCTCGTTGATGGCGGCGTCGGCGGCTTGGTCGTCGATTTCTTCGATTTGAGCCATGGTGGGAGTCTGTGGTGGTGGTTGGTGGGGTCGAGGTTTGGGGTATTTTTTTGTCGTATGGCAGACAAGGTTGTTGGTGGGGTGACTGAGGCTCTGGCTGGCGGGGACCCTGCAACGCTTGGCGCGGGTTGATCATTGACAGTGGCATCTACCAAGCAGCGTGTCGGGCCGGTTCGCAATATGTACCACCGGTGCTGATACCCCGAGGATTTTATTGGAAAGGAGATTTTACTTCCCTGGACTATAGGTATAGTACCGATGCACTATCAGAAGCAGGGGAAATGTTGGTTAGTTCCAGGCGCACGTGAAGGGCGGGAGCGTGAGAGCCTTATTAGCAGTTGGGTATCTCAGAATTCTGATGCTGTGGTATTAATTTCGGGTTTTTTGGTACAAAGGTACAAAGGTACCGGTGCATACACACCCCAGACTGTGTGATTGGTACGGAATGTTATTTGTAGCCATTCACAAGTCTGTGCACCTCTGACTATGGTATGATTCCACAACAGCCGCCCGAACGTGGTGGTGATATATAAGAAACATCATGTAGGTTAAGTAAGTACCGGCGCACATGTCTTATGTCAGTCAGGGAGAGGTTCGACAAAAGTTAAAAGGGAAGAACGCGGAGAGACATCCAATGGCTGGCTCGGTGCAAGAACGGTGTTCCATCTGTTATTCTCCCGGAGAACAAGTATATCTTGCTATGCAGACAATATCGGTATTATTGTAAGGCGGTCTTAGTAACGGTGTCTGCAGTCTATCTTAACTAGACATGTCACCATCATATGTGTGCACAAGTAGAGAGGCTCGTATTCTCTTTTGTAACCGAATCAGCCCTGGTTGGTTATGGGCAGCCGACATGAGTATATCTAAGGTTGGTTCTGTGATATCTTCGGAAGGATGCGTCCCAAATGAGTATGCACGTCGCCTTTATTTGCAGGTACGCGGCATACAATATCAAGCCCTTGTGATAGTGCTCCCTTTATCCTGAAGAAAATAAGATTTTCTAAGTCATAGCGAGACTTATGTATTCCAGCTGTCGATACACTGTCTTGTTTGATCTACAAATTCACGATATGATAGACAGCCTATCATTTAACCAACTTAAGCGTCGCGAGGAAACGTACATGTATACAATGGTCCGATAATCTAGCTTACAAGTGAGAGCACCGTACCGGTATCACACACATACTGCTTCCCCGTCAATAGAATGCAGGTTCCGACAAAACACTACTGTGTTGCACTTGTGGTTTGCGAAACCTCATTTGGTGCCTACCATGTACATACGTACACAACCATGAGGAAGCCTACGTACACCCTGCCCGTGAGAGTTGTTTTGATAGACCGAAAGATTGGAAAGGAGAGGCAGTCTATTTCCGGCCATGCAAGGTTGAATTCTCGCAGTACTCGCTACTTACTTGCCTGTTCGCCAGTTATATTAACAACGCTCCGTGAGTTAACTAGGCTCCAGTTCAACTCTTCAGTTGATTTAATTATGTGCCTATGTATCGATTAGAAAACTGGTAAATGTAATATTAGTTGTGGTTACGCTTCGATCCAGCGGTTAATGACGGCCATCCATGATCGGAGCCTAATCCAGGGTGCCGCCTGTCAACGTCATGCTTTTTGGAAATGCGCCCTATCGATTGGTCGGCACAATCGCCGGCGATGGCATCATTGGCGATACGGGCACCCACCTGTCTCAGTCACAGGCTATTTCTAAGCATAGCTAAGGTACTCACTCCACCTCTCCTCTTTCTCACAACTGCTACTCCACGTCTTTGGCCTTCTAAACATCTCAATATCCGATCCTGGAAGTATTCTGATACCTCCAAGATCTCCACCTACGTCGTTCGTGGGCTCGTTCCCAGGTAAAGTACGCCGTGCACTCGCTCTACTGTCCGTCGCCTAGGTAGCCATCTAGCTATTTACATACATGTAGCTAGTAGCTACCTCCAAGCTTAGCTAGCTATTCTCGCTTCCCACAGAGCTCCCGGATCCCCCTGCTGACAATCCTTATAAACACAACAGAACAAGTTAAAAACCCACAAGCTAAATTACAAACAATCACCGAAATGAGTATATCTCGTCCCCCCCACCTTTTCGGCCCCTCTTTCCCACCCCAGATCTAATGCTCTCCGCCCGTACGCAGCCTCCCCAGCAGCCCCCCCAGACCAGCCCGCCGCCGCCGCGCCCATAACCGAACAGGAGCCCCTGCTCGGGCGCCCCGGGGACGTGGCGCAACGCGATGAAAGCTGGCTAGCCAGGAACTTGATTACCGGTATGCATACCCGATTCTCAACAGCGGGATTGACGAACTGACGTATCTGCCGTAGGCACTGCTCCCCTCGCCCAGGTCGGCGGCGTGATGGTATGTCTGATCTAAACACCTCTAAACCATGGAGGGTGGAGAAAAACGTGGGATAGTGGGCTAACGATGCTGTCTGTGGCCGCCATGTATAGCTTGTCGTGACCGTATGGGGCGCGGTGCTCAGTCACAAATGGATGGTCTTCAATCTACATCCGCTTTTGAACTCTGTGAGTTGACTGCTCCACTCCACTCCACTCCACGCCAACGGGACTGACTGGTTCCCCCATCTCGCAGCTCGGCGTTTTTCTCTCGCTCCAGGCCATCCTGGTGCTTCAACCCACGCACACCGCGCACCAGAAACGCAGGGTACGCTTGTCATCCATCGGATCCCCCAATCCACCAATCCACCCACCCCCCCCCCCCCCCCCCCCCCCACACCGCTCAATACTAATAGTAGTATACCAGGGCACATATGTCCATGCGACCCTCAACGGCCTTGCCGCGTTGAGCTTCTTTACCGCGCTGGTCATCGTCATCTGGCACAAGCAGCATAGCGGGAGTATGTTTTCTACCACGTGGGAGAGAGAAGAGAGAGAGCTGCCTTAAGGCTAGCTAGTGGGGCTTCTTACTGATGCAATCTGCGTGCTCTGCTTTTACAGTCCCGCACTTCGAGTCGGTCCATGCCTACCTTGGAATCACCATCTACGGGCTTCTCTTTATCCAGGGTAACCCCCCCCCCAAAAAAAAAACTAGCCCAGCCCATTCCAGCCCAGCTATATCAATCAATCTCTCCATATACCTATGTATAAAAAAGCGCCAAAACCCAACTAACCTAACCCTAACCGTGGATATATAGCATTTGTTGGATTCACGCAATTCTTTGCGCCGCGCATCTATGGGGGCGTGGATAATGCAAAGAAATTGGTTAGTAAAACTTGATGTGGGAGGAGGGAGGGAGGGAGGGAAGGGGTAATGATGGAAGCTGACGGGTCTTTTGCACGGTTTGTTAGTACAAGTACCATCGTGTCTCGGGATACGTCATCCTGTTGATGTACCTGGTCAATGTCGTCCTGGCGAGTAGGTTGCCCTATGGACAGAAGTTTATCCATCTCAAGACGTGGGGCGTCGTGGCGGCGGGTGTGTTGGTCGTGATTGGTGAGTCTATATTCGCCGTTCTGATTATATTTTGAGGGCGGCCTTCGACGGGGCCCGGAGATGAGGAAATGGCTAATGGATTGTGGGGACGGCGTGTAGGTGCTTATCCAAGGATCAAGAAGCAGAAGATCCAGATCTTTGGGTAGACGGGACAGGGTATATTTTCGGGGACCTTTTTTCTTTTGTTTTAGTGGGTTGGGGGTTTCGTGGGTTGGGATGTAGGGCTGAAGGAAAACAGTCTTTTCATTAATTCGCGGGGGGGGGACTTTTCTTTTCATTTGGTGCATTTCATACGTGTGATATGACTTTTTTTCTATTTCGCTTTTTCGCGTTTAACTTTTTTTCTTGCTGATTTCCTTTTAATTTTTTTTTACTTGCTATCTGATCCGATCTGTCATGCGCGTGATAATCCATGTCTGAGATTCCTACTTCTCCTTTTTTTTTGCATGTCCCGTTATGAAAAATCTAGTTCAGTCTCTCGTTGAGTAAACATCTTACCAAGCGGGACTGAAACAAAAAAAAAATGCTCAATGCTCAATACTCATCCAAAGCCAGTTCAGTTCCGTCAATCGAATCGCGACCCGTCTCTCTGTACCCTACCTACCTATATTCCACATACAAATGATCTGATCTGATCTGATCTGATCTACTCTACCTGCTATGTCTCGCACCGGTGATCCTAAGCTTGGACTGCACAACCACCAAATCCCTATCCCTATCCATGGGCTGATTGTCACATTCCAGAAGCCCGAACGTCTGTTCCTGGTTGTGCTCGAGCGTTGAACAAGAAACCAGAAACAGTACCAGAAACAAACGAGACAGCAACGGAACAAAACCGGAACAGAAGAACCATTCGAGAAGACGCCGCCGCCGGTCTAGAAGTATACACCCATATGGATGTTGTGTCTCACACACACACACTACCTACACTCGGGGTGGGTGGGGAAAAGCAAATCCTGACTCTGCGACCCGAGACGAGGCGAGGCGAGGACAAGTCTCCGGTCGGCGTACGTACGTACGCCGTGTCTGGTAGTGACACCTCTTTTGAAAATCGATGGGGGTTCGGAAAGCGTCCTCAGGATGAGTGATCCACTGTGATGGACCGACCGCCGTGCAAACCCCCCCCCCCCCCCCCCCAACTCGCCTCACCTCGCCTCGCCTGTATCCTGGATGGCGGTGTTTCGGAGGTCGGCCGCGGTCTTGGATGTCATATTACTGGTGGATGACTGATGACCGGGCGGGTGTGTGGAATAGCGGCCGGGCGGGCGGGTGAGGTGGTTGTTGTTCCTGTTGTTCCCGGGATGAAGGTGTTCTACAGGCCGGATGGGTGCTCGTTCCCGGGATTGGGATGTTCCTCTTGAATATTCTCGCCGAGAAACGGGTGCTTATTGGGCTCCGAGAGACAGTGACATGTAGGTACAGAGACAGAGCGTGACTGTTGCTGTTGCTGTTGGCGTGACTGAGTGATAGTCGGTACCTACTGCAGTAGTAGTACATGTAGGCAGTACACGGATGGGTCATGGTGCATCACTCACTCGACATGATCACTCATCATCCACCCGCTCGCCTTGAAGTGCATACTAGTGCTTGTCGCCCCCGCGCGCAGACCTGAATGTGGTCCTTCCCCCGCCCGTCATAACATGACAGCTAAAGTCAGTCAGTCAAGCAGTAATATAAACAATGTTTCTGTCTCTGTCACTGTCTCTGTTGGATGTTTGTAGATACTCGACTACCGCGCCTTATTGGACACTTTCTAGTTGACAGGCGCGCGGTAGCCACTGTTGGGCGTATGCCGATCTGTTATGATGCTGCTCACGAGGAACAGCAACAGCAACAGCGAAAAAAGAACCTCCACCTCCACCTCCACCTTTAAGCTCCCCTCCCGCAGTGGCTGGCCAGCCTACCGGAGATCTAATGACGCTGATCGCCGGGTCGTCATGAGGACACCTTCGTATTAATTGCGCGATGTAGAGATACATCGTGATCTCGATTCCAGCGATGCAACAATAACAGCAGCGACAGCGCCCTATCGTTCTTATCTAGACCTCTCTCTGTGTAACACAGGCCCGTGGTCTAGACTCTTGCATCGTGGACTGGAGAGGCATCTCGGGGTGATGGGTATACCGGAGCAGCAGTCTGGCGGTGCGGATTGGCCGTGGGGATGGGGATGCATGTCTTGGTGAGTGAGTGAGTGAGTGCATATGATATGGTGCTTTCTCAGCTTAGAGTAGGTGATATTGCATTGGAGCGCTGGGCAGCGCAGCGGGGAGGGGAGGGGAGAGGGACGTCGAAACAAAGTGTGGCTAGCTCCTCAAACTTGTCACTGTCACTGTTGGAGGAGCTGTCACGATTGCTCGCTACACTACACGTGCAGTAGTCTTTTCTTCAGGGCGCCTGTAATTTCGAGGATGCAGACAAAGTCTGCTAGGTTAGTCCATTCTGGGAGGAAGATCTTGGTTGCGGTTACCACAATTGTACAAACACGCAAAAGTCCTCAGCTTCGAATTGACGATTCCGCGCGCCCCACTCTTGGACGCAATTTTAGAAGAGTGATGGGATGTGCGCTGCGGTGATGGGGGTTACGCAGTGTGGATTGGAGGCCTTGGCGAGTGGGAGCGCCCACTGGTAACAGTATGTACCTACATGAAGCCCATCACCACAAATGCCGTTGCGGCGTTAGAGTTCAAGCCTCTATGAACACTTTTAAACTCTGGCTGGCTGTCTGGCTGGCTTGGAGAACGGTAGAGCAGAGTAGCGGAGTACAACACCAGCCAATGAGGAGCTCGAAAACGCATATCCGGCCAATCGAATAATCCCTCGCGGAATATAAAAAAAAACCCTCACACACAGGGCCAAGGATTCGGACCGGTATCCTTTTGAGTATGGACGGATATGATGCCGAGCGAGCTCCTCTACTCACCCTACAGTGCCGTGCCCCATAGCCGATGGCCTGGCCGAGGGGCCGACAGGCCGAGTTTTCCTTTCTGACTTCCACGTTGCAGTCCATAGATAGACACGGCCCCTTAATCTCCTGCCTTGTGCCTTGTCTTGCATTGGAGGGAGGAAAAGGAGATCATGACGTTTTGACGATCCCATGTACCTATGAGCCCTTCACATGTATCTAGGAGTAGGAGGATATTTAGGGAGACGAAGGGGACACGGAGGGTTGAGCCTCTTCTACAGAGAAGAGGCATAAACGCAAACACGGTCAATTTGCCATGTGGCACCCTGGGCGCTGGCAGTGCGCAATTCTAGAGTACAGTTAGGTACGAACATCTGTCCATCTACTCTAGCTGTCTCCATCCGTCCATCTGTGTACCTACATGCACATGTAGAGAAGAAGAAGAAAGAAGCAGCGTTTACGGGAGACTCCGCGTACCCCTGACTTAAGACTCGAGACTCAAGTCTGAAGCGTACAATAAGATTCTTCCATGTACTCTGACTCTCTGCGTACACTCTGTAGGCGTGAGTGCTGACAGCGCCTTTTGTCCGAACGCTGCTACTTCGTCGCGCGGGCCGCGAGCGGGGATGAGTGCGGGATCGAAGGGAGGGAGGGAAGGGAATGATGGGGGGTTAGTCTGTTCTTGTTTTTCGTGATCGTGGTTGTGGTGGCGTTTTTTCGCTCATCTAGTTCCCCGAATGAGTCGGGATCGGGGTCATGGGTGGTCACTCGGCCCCATTCGCGACCTCAGCTCAACCTTCAACCCTCAGCCCTCACCCTCAACATGAACTCCCACCCAGCCGGCCAGCCCACCCAATGAATTCCTGCGCATCACTTTTTCGCAATACCCCGGATACACTCGCTCATCCCTCGCATCCATTTTTTTCAACACGGGTAGCGAGTCTGCACAGTCGCTTCTTTTCTGTCTTGGAAGCGGCGATTTCCGGCGGCGCGGCCTGTGCGGAGGAAAAAAGGTGGGAAAGGGAAAATGCTTATGTGCATCTATACCCGGGCTGCCCCGATGGAGGGGGGTATAGTGGGTGTGGGTATAGGGTTTCAGTGCGCCATAGGGACGTCTATGGACGGATTCAATTGTGAGGTCTGGATTGGGTCGGATGAGATGGGACTGCGTAAGATGGGATCGGACTGGGTTGGGTTGTGTAGGATGGGATCGGACTTGCTGGGCGACGATGGATGGCCACGAGGGCGCACGGGTGAAGGGTCAAGGTGAGATGTCGTCAGGATTGTGTATGTATGTAGATGGTGGTCACGTAGTGTAGAGTGTAGGACTAAGGAAGATGGTGCATGGTATGGAGGAAGGATGAATTGGTAGTGGATAATGTACAGTATCGAAGTGGTCAAGTTAAGAGCATAGAGAACATTAATGGGGGCAGTACTATGTTGTCTAGTGCTGCACTCTCATGAATAGTACAGAAAGGCTAGAAAGAAAAGGAAAAGAAACAAAAGAAACCCCCCACCGGCAAACCCAATCCAATCAATCCATCAGTGATCATCGTAAACCCCAATATCACCATCAATATATAAAGTTAGTTTATAAAAGAAAAGGAGGAAACAAAAGAAATAAAGATAAAACCAATCCTGTTAAAATAAAACATAAAAAATAAAGTTACATCCAACAAATGAAATAATCAAACAACCCAAAGAAAACCCCCAAAAATCCCACACAATCCACAACCCCGAACCCAGCAAGAAGGAGAAGAAGCGTATCCCCGCCATCAATCCCCCCTCCGCACTCCCACACAACTATGACGAAGACTTCGACACCTGACTCTCCAGATCCTTATCCCCCGAACTGTGCGTACTATGGCTCTCATCCACCACCACCGCCGTCGTCCTCACAATCATGCCATCCGGAATAATGATATGCTCCTGACTGCCACTCATGGACCCCAGCTGCGTGTGGCCCCCCGTCACAGTGGTGTTCATCGCCCCGTTCTTCATCCGGTCCATCGAGTACGAGTGCTCGCTGTATCCCTTCTTGTACCGCGAGTTGACGGCGCCACTGAGTCCGCCGCTCTGGTCGTGCCCGCTGTACCCGCTGCCCAGCATGCGTGGGAAGTACTCCTTGACGAGAATCTTGAACGACGGGATGGAGGCCGCGAGGATCCCGATGTTGATCTCAATCACGGACCAGTACATGGGCTCGGCGATCACCCAGGTAGGGTCGGCGTCCGTTAGCATGGGGGCGACGTAGGTGATGCGGATGATGGACGAGATGCAGGCACTACGCAGACAATCTTATTAGCACCTCCAGAGAATTAAAGAAAGAAAGAAAGCCATATCCCATATTTCCAGGTATACTCACAATCCACCCAAACCAAGAATAGTCACCAATCCGATCTTCTGGCGCTTCGGCAGCTGCAGCTTCCACAGCATGGGCATGGGCAGCGTGTAGGTGAGGAAGTCGGTGAAGATGTTGAGCGCGGCGTTGGCGAGGTAGAAGGCGTTGATGTTGATGCAGCGGCCGCCGGGCAGCGTGCGGTCCCACAGGAACTTGATGGGCGCGCATTGGAAGATGCAGGCGCAGACGTTGGAGGTCGCCTGCGAGCCCACGATGAACATCATGAAGAAGGCAACCCGGCGGAAGGTGAGGGAGGGTGTCAGGCGCAGGTACAGCGCCAGTGCAGAGGTCTTGATGAAGCCGAGACAGGCGTTGTAGAACATGGAGGAGGCCCAGACTCGCTGTGAGCGGTGTTAGTAGGGTGTTTGCTTTTGAGTTTTGGGAGGTCGGTTTGGGGGATTTGGTTTGTAGGGTTTGAAGTTTGGAATTTTGGGGAACTTACTCTAGTGTATGAGGGCAGGTTCTCAACGGGGACGGCGGTGAAATGTTTTCCTAGGCCTTTGTTGACACAGAGGATGACGCATATTGAGAAGCCCCAGGAACATAACTGGAGGTGGGTTTATCAGTCATTGATATCTTTAAAGAGCACGAGTCTTTTATATAGTGGGAGAGAACTCACTGCAGCAAAGCAAATAAGAACTGTAGAAACATTGGTTAGCTTTAATTCTTGTATTGGATATGATATTGAATGTCCGGAGATTTTTTTTAATGACTTTGGGTACGTAAAAAATCAAAAGAGAAGCTTACTATCATCCATTCCCATGGCACGAACAACCCATAATCTCGAAAACATCCGCAGCCCAATCACAATAGCGGTGAGAACCATAAATATCGTACATACTGTATTGACTATTGGCCCCTTCGATTCACTACTGTAGTTGAAGTCGACAACCTCAGCTTCGTTTGTCATCTTGATTGTCTAAAATATATGTGATATCTCAGGCACCGATCTCAATTGTTGATTACTGTCTCTCTCTGGCTTGCTGGCTGACTGGCTGGTTGGTTGGATGCGATGCAAGCTGGTGGTGTTGTCGATGCCTCCTAGATCCTCTCTCTCTTTGGAATATATTTCAAGCCAGCACTGGGTGGTATCCACACACTTGAATCCCAGGGATTGGCTGTGCTTGACTCGACTTAATTGCCGGGCTGCCTGCTTGTTCTAATACCCTTTCTCTTGGATGAGGTTGGGGCTGCCGGGGCTCTTGAAGAAAAATGTGTCTGCGCTATCTAGCTCGTTTCTCTAAGAATTGTTCCTACATGGAGGGGAGATTCTATATGTATGTAATTTTGGGACCCTCGACTCTTTCCCGGCGGCCCTCCCCCCCCCCCCCCCAACACACGCCGAATTGATAGACAGGCGTCTATTGTAGGTGGTCCCCTAGCCTGGTCGTGTCTTGTCCCATACCTAGAATACTAACCTGCCCTACCCATATTTCCAACTAACTAACATTATTTTGCAACTAACTAATTCTATAACTTCATGTATATCATTCTTTTTTTTTTTTTTCCGATTCACAGCCCTTCCACCCCCCAATTGAGTATCTGCCTGGCCTGCCCTCAAATGCCTTGCCACTCTTTTTTTTCAGGTTTTGCGAGGAGATGCGCGCCCAAATTTTGGCAGCCGTGCTTGTCTCTTTTCGTCTACCGTGGTTTGCAAAAGCAGATCGTGCCGTAATATTTACCCGTGCCCACACTATGCCCGTCCGGTGTCGTAAACCACACACCCACACTCACTCGCTCGCTCGCTCACACACATGCACGCATGCATACCCACACACCTCCCCCTTCCCCGGCGTTCGAAAAAAACACTCGCTTCAAGTATCCCAACCTACAACCAGTACTTTTTGATTCGTGAGGGCCGATCCTAAACTCTTTCCTGTCACGCGAAAGAAAAAAAAACCACCGACGACGACAAACGGGGCTACCGCGGTTGCTCTATGTTGCTTGTTGGTTAGTATCTACCTAGGTTCTAGAGACGAGACTGGCCCCGATTGTTCTCCGTGAAGTTTAAATTTGTTCGGTTTAGTTGCAATTGCGCTAGCTATCTAGATCATTGCCAGTGCACTGCTCGAACTCGTATGTACTCACTCACTTCCTCGCGTGGTATCCTAGGAACCGAGGATTTCACGATGGTAGAGTAGATACAGTCTTAGTACATGCTTAGGCGGACTTACTCTATTTGAATCATGATGAAATTTCCGTAAGTGCGAGTATGAGGGCATATACCTGGTAGACCCGTGTCCTATTTGTAGTGTGCGTTGATCAAGCTGTTTGAGAGCAAGCAAGCAAGTAACGTCCGTCTATCCGTTCAGCCAGATGCATAGCTTAGGTTGACAAAGTCAAACACAAAGGAGAATATATTTCACTGCCTCCTCGGGGATTAATTAGTTACGCAAGTCAAGGCAAAAAAGAAAATAAAAGAAAACGAGATGGATTTCTTTCCCTCTATCCAGGTTTCATAGTCTAGGTATCTGACGTTTACATGTATCGTGCTCTTTACTTCTATAGCTATACAATGCAAGAAGAAACACCTTGGATGATGGACCCCTATACTTCCTCCTCCTCCTCTATGCTCAGGCAATAGGACCAATTGAGTATTTTGGGTACCTTATGACAGGGACAGCCCGTAACCCCGGATTTGTGTTTTCCTTGACACCAGTATTCTCAAGCCGTTAGGCATTGGGAATAACAACTTCTAGGTTGTCCCAGGGATGGTCCTGGCTTTTACCTACATAATACACTTCGTTAACAGGCAGTGTAACAACTATTCTGGGCTCTGAAGAACTTTCTTCCGCCTGCCTTGCGCACTCCTGCATAAGCAAGATGCAGGTTCAACTTCGAAGAGCATCCCCTCGGCCATCTCAACGCAATATGGAATATGGTCTTGGCTCTCCCCCGTCCGATTCCGATTTAGAAAAAAACGTAGTCCAGTCCATCCACAGGTGTCCGTCTGCCCCACGCTGTTAGAATAACTACCTATCCTTGCACTTAACTCACTGCACTCCCCCTTACTAACAATGCTAGATCTAGATGACAGCCAACCCCCCACCCCCGGTAGGTATCTTCCACGGAGGATATCATCAAAACAGAAGCTCGCAAAGCAATGGGACAGCACGTGCTAGAGACATAAAGTTTGCCGAAGACTGGGGGATGATTTGATGGAGAGATCAACAAAACCACAGGCTCTCTGCTTAAGCTTGCTGCAGCTAGAGTGCATGACTGGCTGCTGCCGGTGGTTAGAGTGGAAAATAAAGATCATCCACAAAGCCGCCACACGTCGGCGCGGCAGTCTCTCAGACTCTTGATTGTTAGTTCTCTTTTCTTTTTCTACGGACCTCGAAGAATGCGTTTTTTTTCTCTCGACTTGATTCCCCGATGTTCAGGGTGTTGTAATAGAGCGATTTGGCCAACGACTTCTGAACCTAAATATTTAATTCTTGGCGACAGTTTTTGGTGTGAAAATCCCGCCAAGACCTCAAAATTTGAGCTCAAAATTTGAAAAACAGGGATTGGCCAAATCGCTCTAATATGGTGTTGCGAATTTCTAATCATAGATCCTATAGGAGAGGGCAGATATATGGTTATTGGCCTGTGCAGACACAGATGCGGTTTCGGGCAGGCAAGGTGTGTGTTATGATAGGCCTAGTAAGCTACGCCGAAACAATCTCATCAGATAACCCATCCCCGGTTCTCGGTGATCGACATATCGTTTATCGGACGATAATTCAAAAGGGTCAACTTTACACGCCCAACAGACCTAGACGAGCTAGCTGGAGGGGAAGCGAGCGTATCGTATCGACAAACAATTGGAGAGCTAGAGAAAAGAAGCTTGTTCACATGGCGTCTAAAGGATCGACTATAACCTCCGGATTCCCCCCCCGCAAAAAAATAAAAGTTTCCCGAGAAACTCTAATGTTTTTGTTGTATCTTGTCTCGTTATTTGTTGTTGGCAAACAACGTCAGAAACAAATTTTCTGCAGACGACTTTTTAGAGTCGCAATTGATGTCATGATGAGAGTAGGAGGCGCTGTGAATTAGTGATCCTCTCTCTCTAGATCCCCCTTTAGAGCACACATGACAAACGCCCGCTCCGAACCGCTGTCAATCGGCGGTGGTGCCGCAGCGCCTTGCAGACAAGATCTAGATCCTGATCTGTAGAGTTAACCTCCCACAAACTTCCTTCCTGCTAGGTAATCAGATGTAAGTGTTTGGCACGCACGGTGTTTGTTCCAAATCGGAAGCAGACCGGAGTGCGAATTACTTAAAGACGCACTTACTAGCAATTAACTAACCTCCTATCTTGCTGGAAAAAAAGGGTTTGCCAATGATTTTGGAGTACTTACTTTCTATTATCGCGCAAACGTGTGATAGTTGGTGATTGTCTTGCGGGCACGCTCGAGATCTAGTCACGCAATGATAGGTACGGTCGAGTCCCCATATCCAACTCGAGAGATGGCGATTCACACAGCTAATAATCTCCGGAAAGGAAAAGAATGGTGTCATATGGTCTCTAGATGTGATTATTATCGATAACTGTATCTAATACGAAGACAGCTTCTCCGGTTTCTGGATCTGGCGAATCTGGCGGATTTCAACTGCTTATCAATATGCTGTCAGGGCTTACAGAACTTTCTTCGGAGATTCAATTGTAAGCCCAAGTCCAAGCTCAAGTATCTGATATGTTCTACTCTGTATTTTTTCACATTACGACAAGTGCATCATAGGAAGCGAAAGATCTGAAGCCCTAAATAATCTTGTCTCATGTACGCTAAATATTCGGGCATCGCTCTGAGGAGAAGAAGGAACATTTCCTCTCCGAAACATCTCAACCTGGCAAATTTGCTAGAGAAAAAGGGGGCGTTTCTCTAGACTGGGGTTTTTGCTCGTTTGGCGCACACTAGGATCTAACGGGAGCGGATCAACCCGTTTTTGAACGACCCCCCAAGGATTGAACGTGACACGTCACGCTGAACTTACGCGCTAATTAAAAAACGAAGGCCCGATATTTCAGATGTTCTCGGTGTTTGCTGCGGGGGGTACCTACCATCTTCGGTTGGTGGTGCTCCGTTAGCTGTAGGTACTGTAATTCTCGAATCGAATCTTCAGAGTCAAGTTAATGATAGCCGAGGGAGCTCGGTTGGGTTTTTATCTTTCGGACGAACCATTGATTTGGTAGGTAATTGGCAGTATGCATGTTTGAGTGAATGTCTATCATTCAGTATTTATAGACAGGCATTTCAACTTATAGGCCTCTCACAAATTCCCGAACCCCCGTGTTCACCACAGGTTACCACAATCGGGAATCAATTTATTAAAGTTTTTTTCCGAGTGGGTATCTAAACGGAGATTCCGAAATCTGGGCACTCTCAAGGTGTCCCGCCCCGCCTGTGGGAAGGCATGCTTCTCGATGCTTGGAATTTGCTCACACTCCTCCTAATAATTTCCCCTGGGTTTTCCCTTTTTCGAAACTGTACAGTTACGAGCATGGCCTTGGCAAACGCACATTACCCGACTGGGATAAGCAATGTAGGCCATGTCCGACATCTAGACGCGCTAGATTAGTTGAGGATCCTTTTACATAACGCGTTTACTACATCTGGTCAAAGCAATTATTGCACTGAATTCAGTTCCCATTTCGTAGTAATTTTGAGTACGTCAGTCCTACCACGGGGGCTCAGGGATTGGGGTTTCTCTACATAAGAGGTCCGAGCGAACTGGCAGCACATTCGAGTCTGCACTTTTTGTTCGCCAGTCGACAGAATCACACCTTTCTATAAGGAGCGTGCATAACCCGGACAATAATTTTACTTCCCATCTCTCCTCACATCCACCAGAATCTCGGGGGAGAGCAAAAAGGAATATATGACAGATGGATGAGATGCCTAAATATCTCCTCACAACAAGACTACA